TACAATTTTTAAAAGCGCATGCATTATGCATACGCTGTTCTACCTGCATGTCTTCCTGCAGGCCACAAGAGGGCACCAGATCGGTTACTGGAAGAGCAGCCAAGTGAGTGCTCTTAACCTCTGAGCCATCTCACCTACTCTAGGCATCGCTGTTTAAAAAATGGTTATTTAAATTTTTATATGTATGCTGTGTGAATATATGTGATATGTATTCACCATGTATTCACAGGTGCCCTGGAGAGTGGAATATTCGGTCAGCTGGCGTTGGTGTTCCATTCAGCCCATGTGGGTGCTGGGGACTGAACTCTGGTCCTGGGGAAGCAAAAACTGCTCTTAACCACTGAGCGAGCCATCCATCCTTCTAGTTCCCACTTTTTAAATAAACAGTCTTCATTCTGAACTTTGCCTTTCGTTAATTAGTTGTAGAGGATTGTACAATTGAAAGCCCTGTTTATTATTTAAATAACGTCTGGTTTTCGTCTGCTCCTTTTCAAGAGTATTTGTCTCTTTCTGGCTCACTTTTCCTCCTTCATGTTTCTCATCTTTTCATTTCTCCTAGGTGCTAGACAGTTTTAATGAGTTTTTCTTCTGGTTAACTAGTTTTTTGTCTTTAACTGGGCTAGGCTTTTTAGTGTGTGTGTGTGTGTGTGTGTGTGTGTGTGTGTGTGTGAGTGTGTCCACTTCTAACCCCTGGCTACCTACTTATCAGTTATCTGTCTGTATTGTATTTGTTGAGGCAGGGCCTACAGTATGGCTCAGGTTAACTTTGGATTTGTAATCTGCCATCTCTCCCTCCTGGGTTGCGGAGATTATAGGCATATACCACCATTCCTGGCTTATTTTTAAAATTTCTGTGTGGTTCCCTTCTGGTCGTATTTAGCCATTGTTTTAGTCTCATAACGGATGCTCATTTTAAAATCTGTAGCTTGTTCTGAATACTGTATTTGGCCATCTCTGTCTGAAAACTGGGGGTGGGGGTGGGGCTCTAACATAATTGCTTGTTTTCTTTTGTGTACTCATTCTTGTTTGGTACTGGTTGGTTATGAACGGTTTGACTCATTTTTGTGAGAATTTTCAGTAACTTGGGAGACCTTTCCTTCTGAAAGCATTGTGTCAGTTAAGGCTGGGAGTCCACGAGATTAACTGGATTACACATCGGCCTCCTGGACCGTTGTGAGTTTTGGGACCACTTAGGTGTTAGTTTAGTTTCTAACTTGAGGTTGAGGGCAGCTTTAAATGTTTTCCTCTGTCTGTGAATGGACAGAATCTTGATTTAAAAAAAAAAAAAAAATCTGTGATCTGCGAGACCCGAGGGAACGCAGCTCTAACTCCAGAATTTGGGGGACAGAGATAGGTGGCTCTCTGAAGTTCAAGGGCACCCTGGTCTGGTCTGTATAGAGAATAGAGGCCACAGTAGTGACTCTGTCCCCAAACAAAACTGTGCTGCACTTTCTCTCCCAATGATAGAGTTCTTTAATGTCCAATACATTCCTTTATCTTAATATTTAACTAGGGTAGTTTTACCTTGTATTGGAAAAAGAATTCATCCAATAGGATTTCTTAGTTACTAAAACAAGTTTAAAGTTAAGCCACAGGTTAAGTCAATCTAAAGAAAAATATTAGGTGGCTCCCTATGTAATGTGTTGAGTTTGTTACAGTTTACCCTCGAGACGCATAGCGAAGAAACAGATAGATAAACCTGTGATGATTAAGTAATATGAAAACACTCGCAGTGATGTGGGTGCTCTGAGCTGAGGGAGAGGAGGTGAACTCGGGGTAACCAGGAAATGCTCCCTGAACTGAGTGGTACTGGTGGGCCTTAGCGTGGTTACAGAATAAGGCTGCTAAGGGCTGACCAGCACAGCAAGCAGGCGTGACACAGTGGAGGCCCTGTGCCGTGGAGTAGGGACATGGAAGCCGAGTGGGGTTGTAGCGGGGCCTTGTCCTGCACGTGGTGAGGAAAACGTGCTGTTTGGTGCTGAAGAGAGGCTGAGCAGTGGCTCTAACAGTGAAGTGATGGGCCAGGCTCGGCGGACGTTGGACACAAGGGACATGTGTGGTCCGTTCAGGTGGTTCGCTGGCTGGCTGGCTGGCTGGTTGGTTTTGTTTTCAGACAAGTAGTAGTGTGGGAACGTTGTATTGAAATCTGAGAGTGGGCAGTCAACGCTGACCTGCGTTTTTGGTTTGGATAACCATTTGGCACTTAGAGCAGTTAATTGATAAATAGTATACAGAAAGAGGAAGGAAGTTGGCTTCTTTCTGAGTTTCTTTTTGTTTGTTTCGAGGAAAAACAAGTTTGTTTTTGAACTTCTCGAATATGAGAGGCTTGTGAGGCGTTTCGGTTAAGATCTAGTAGCAATTGACATAGATGTTCTAGAAGTTGAGAGGTGTGGTCCAGCCTGGAAAGATTTGGGAGTCCTTAGCACTTGGAAATTTGGAATCCAGTGTTCCTTAAGTACCACCTGAGCTAATTTAAATGGTCCATAGGTAAATACCTGGCAGGTTTTAATAGTAATTTAATGTGTGAAAAACTTGTGCGTCAGACCTGTGATACCGTGGACATCGTTTGGGCCAAGTAAACTCTATGAAAGGAACCACTAAGTGAAAATGCACGCAGTGAATGGAAATGGCAGGGGCTGCCGGGAGCCGTTCCGGTGCTGCCGCCGGTGTGGGGGGTGAGGTCACTCGGAGAGGATAAGATGAGAAGGAAGGGCAGTGGGCATTGGGTGTCGGGATGGAGACGAGGAGCCATGAAGGAGACTGAGGAAAAGCAGCCAGACGGATAGGAGGAGACGCAGAAGATGGTCTTTGCAGTCCACGAGAAGAGCTCTCAGGAGGAGGAAGAGTGGTCCACAGCGTCAAGTAAGTTGTAAGCTGAAAAGTGCTCTTTGGATTTAGCAATTAAAGTCGATTACCTAGCTGGGATCACCTAAACCAGTGTGTGTTAACAGTAGCTGGTAGTTATTGTGTTTGTTAACATGCCTGGCCCCTCGAAAGCACTCGACATGTGATAGCTGGTTAGCCGGGAAGGTGGTAGTCGTGATTCACACTTGGTGCGGGGGGGAAACTGAGGCAGCGGGAGCATCGGGTCCCCCTGCAGTCAGCCTGGCCACAGAGGTCACGCTCTGTACCGTCTTGCCACACTGCCTCTCTAGTCAAACCAAATGGAGCATTGGTAACCGGCACCAGCATTGTAATGCGGCCCAGTTGTTGCTGTGTGTGTTACCATGAGATCTGCTAGACTTGCATGGCTACCTTCATGTTAGAGGCTGAGTCTGCCAATTGTATTGTAAGCTACACCATGGTAGTGATTTTGTGGGTTATGACAGTTCTTGTCTCTTTCTGTATTTATAGTAAAAAAAAAAAAAATGTGAACTTAAAAGACTATATTTCTGAGGATAACAACATTTCACATTATGTGCTTTATCTTGGGTACTATGGTGTCTATTTTTCCCAGCTTTGTGTAAATCCCTTAAACTCTGAAAGTGTTGTTGGTGCAGAACAGATCAATTTCTCGGGTGTTACAGGTGACCATTTTACTGTAGTTTAACCTTATTAAAGCAGTTCCCTTCAAATGGGAGGAATGGGGCCAAAATGTGGCTGAAAACTGAGGGCCCGGTGGGAAAGGGAGACGGTTTCTGGGCTAGGTTGAAGAATGGGAGGTGATGGGGAGCTGTGGCCAGGGGGCGGGTGTTTAAGACTGGCTCACACAGCAGACACTGGTGTGAGAGGTCCTGGGAGAGGGGAGCCTTGTGGCGTAGGCTGTGACGTTGCTGGTAGCTGGGAAGGTGTGGTCGGCCAAGGCCTTGATGTGGCTGGGAAGGTAGGCTTGGGAGAGGAAAAGTAGCTGCAGCGAATTTCTGTGAGAGAGAGGAGACCGTGAGGCCCTCCAGAGGACGGGGTGTGAATCTTCCCGCACCTGGTGACCCTGAGCAAATTACTCGGTTTTGCTCAGGGTTTTCTTTCCGTTTGTGTGGTGGGGACGGTGACACAAGTGTACCGTGGAAGCTGCCGTGAGGGCTGGGGAGACGTTCCCTGCAGTGTGTGCAGTCACTGAGGTAGCTCGCTCCTCAGTCCTGGTATTGTGAGGTGTCCACAGGTCAGGCTGAACGCACTGCTTGATTGGAGAGATGGCTGTGTGTCCCACCCATGGTGGTCCATTTAAAGAGAAACTCAGCAACGGTAGGGTTGGAAGAGACAGAGGAGGGTGTTACGATGGTGCTGGTGACGGAAAGGGAGAGTGTGCTTACTTGTCAAGAGCTAGAACTTATGGACTGCTGAGTTTTCAGTGACATTGTAGCTCTAACCTGAAAAGTCCTTGTCATTGAACTTTGTTGTGAGGGTGGGGGGCAGCCTAAAACTTCAGTTTTCCTCCACCGAAATGCATGTTAGAAATACCTTTTGCTAAAGTGAAGGTGGTTTCTCACTCGCTGTCTAACAGCAAGTTGTGCTTGTAGTAGTTGAGAGTAGCAAGCGCAGAAAGGAGTCTTGGGATGGTAGGCCTGGATGCGGCCATGGATGTCAGGGCGCCAGGGTGAACCACTCCAACTTTGCCCTCTGCCCCAGACAGAGACTACTGAGAGATGAGTAGGACCCGGGAACCTATGCGCAGCTAACAGGAAATGGTTTCTCGGTGGAGTCAGGACGGTTTGAGGCTATAGCAGTTTGTATGCTGTGAAATGGTATGTTTTAGGGTGTGGCGTGTAGCCGATAGGGAGTAAGTACACAGCAGGATAATAATGTCTTTTTACATTCAGCAAGCACTTGTTAAAGACAGAGTTTGCTAGGCACGTGCGGAGTAAGATGCCCTTAGATGTGTGGAGAAGTGTGGGGACAATGAGCAGTGGATTAGGGATGAGGTTCCCCAGACCGTAGTGCTCTGATTGGAGTTGCTGCGTAGGATGCAGGCCCCCAGTACTTCTCCGATGTCCCACAGAGAAACTGCTGCTGCTCGTGTTCCCCGAAGCGACGGTTGATCTGCATGTGTGTTGTCTCCTTAGGACTGTGCAGCATGGATGGTTTTTCTGAGGGAGACTTCGCTTTGGCAGATGACGGGTTGTTGGAAGGTTACCCTTACGAGGATGACTGTATCTGTGCCCCCGACTTTACCACTGATGACTATGTCCGAGTGACCCAGCTTTACTACGATAGAGTGGTAAGTAGGCACCTGCTTTCTGTTGGAAGAGTTGTGTCCCAAAGGCTTCCTACCGAGAGGGACGACTGTGGCTTATGAGTGTGGGCAGGAAGTACACATGCCCCTGAGCAGGTGAATCCAGAAGGGAAGGGAAGTAGCAGCTCAAGAGAAGGGTGTGATGTGGAGAAGTAGTTCTCTTGACTGGAGGTTATAACCCAGCACCTGAGAAGCTGTAGGGACAGACAGCGTAAACCCCACGAGGGTGCAGAGAACACAGGTCATACATACTCACACGTTCTATTAGATGAAAACCAGAATAATTTTCTTCTTCTAGGGTATGCAATATAAAGATTATGCCCAAAGTGAGAAAAATTTAGGTGAGTACATTAACACTTTAATGTTAATTTGTTGAAGACCGTAAAGGGATGTTCTGTCCGTCTGTCACAGCAACATAATCCTTCATCTTTTAAGATGTGTTTTAGCTTGATTTGATGAGGCAGGCCTGTAATCCCAGCACGTGGGAAGGAGGCTGAGGCCCGCTTTGATCAACATGCTGAGGCTGCCTGTCATCTCAGACTGGAAGCTGTAATCTTTTTGTTAAGTTGGAGTTCACCCATTGCTTAAATATTCTTTAATATCTAATAGACTAAGTATTTTATTTCTTTAGTTTCTACCTTCCTGTATCTACTTTATTTTTCCCTATTAATGATAATGATTCATTTGAAAATACTAATTTTAAACTTCTTAATTTTAATTAAGAGTATGACATCTGCAATATATGGTGTAGTAAGCCACTTTCTATCCTGCAAGATTACTGTGACACCATTAAGCTATATATCTTCTGGCCACTTCTTTTTCAACAACAACACAGTTCTATAATATCAAGATTGCATCCCTGTGTGGAAGCCACGTAAGTTACTGTGTAATAATAATTTTTAAGAACTCTGACAGCACAGTGTATTGAGGAGTCCCCTGGTGCGGTGGGAAGGCCTGGGCCTCTTGAATGCTGTTTAATCTTTTGTTTGTTTAATTGGATAGAAAAAGCAAAGACTTGGGACTTGAATATAAATGGATAATTATAACATTTTAATGAATTACCTGAAAAGGAATAGATTGTAAACTTGAAGCTGAGTAAGAAAACTAATAAACTTATTTATTAGAGAGGAAAAGGTGCAGTGTCTGGTGAACCAAACACCGGATATACTGTTACCTAGAATAAAGAAAACGACCTTTCCACATAGTTTAAGGAGAACTATAAATATAAAGTTCATGTAAAGTGTAACGTTCATTAAGGAAGTACATTTGGGATCCTAATCTTTAAAAAAAAAAAAATTGTCTTTAAGCCGTTCTCGTGCCGCTGAAATAAGTTTGAAGAAATTACAGCATCTTGAGTTGATGGAAGACATTGTGGATTTGGCAAAGAAAGTTGCAGTAAGTGTAGATGTGGGTGAGTGCTGGCTGTGTGGACGTGGGTCCTGATACGGGACCCTAGCACCCGTGAAAAGCGTGACCCTGTAACCTCAACACTGGAGGGGGGGGGAGACGAGAGGGCACTGGTTCGCTGGCCACCAGCCTACTTCCAGAGTCAGTGAGAGACTTTCACAGGCGGAAAGCGATAGAGCAGGCCTCTTGCTGCGTCTTGCTAAGGGATGGAAGCTGGACCTGATCTTGAATGAATGCGGCCCCTGGCACATGCCGCCTCTGAAGCCAACGGTGACCTTGTGACGCTTGTGTGTGGAGAGTCTGTCAGGGAAGACTTGAGGCGGCACTCTGCTATGCGTTGTGGGTTGTTGCAGTTTTGGTACAGTTCTGGTTAAAGCTTATGTTTGTTTGGAGAAGGCGTTTCTTCTCAAATCAGCTGTACTAACACACAGCCGATGTACATACCTTTATTAAAAGTCTAGGTGCAATGAACTTCAAAAAATCTGCACATTTTATGCTATACAGTATATATAATTCTTTTGAGACAGGGTTTTTCTGTCCTTTGAATGTACTCTGTAGACCAGGCTGGCCTCAAACTGACAGAGATCTAACTGTCTCCGCCCCGAGTGCTGGGATTAAAGGCGTGTGCCACCACTGCCTGGCTTATCCATTCCGTTCTAGTTAAAAGCTGGAGCATTTCTGAGTTGCCTTAGGATGGTAAGGGGACAGACAAAGGAACCGTGCCAGTGTTGGTGGCAAGTGCTGTGCTGTGTGTGTGAGTGGTGTAGTCACACATCGCTTAGTGATGGGGTACATGCTGAGGACCGGGTCATTAGCTAGTCCCCCTGTTGTATGAATCTCATAGATTGCGTTTAAGCAATCTGAGCAAGATGATAAGCCTAGGCCTCTCATTGTAAACTAGAGACGGTAAACGTGGTTGTGTGAGACCAGTGACCTCCCTTCTGGTGAGTGAGTACTCTAAAGTAGTTGTAAACATTGTATTGTATGTGGTAAATACCCAGTGGTAAATACCACATGGTGTATCTGACCACGCGGGCCATACTTGCACAGTGACAGTGCAGGAGGTTTTTCTCAGGCGTGAGCACAGGCTTGTGAGCCGCGCACTGGGAAATCACAGACAGGGCAGTGTAGCGTGGGTGGTAACTTTTCAGGGTTGTTACCGTCTCAGGGGACGTTTGGCCTACCTGTGCTTCCTTGTTAATTCCGAGGCGGTGTGCAGCTCATGACTACTAAAATGTAGGGCTTTTGTTTTCGTCAGAAATTCAGTTCCTAGGCTGGGAAGATGACTCAGTGGGTAAAGCGTTTGCCATGCAAGTGTGAGGACCGAAGTTTAGGTACATACTCGAGCACTCGTGTAAAAAGTGGTGGCTGGGAGAATGGGTGGCCACCCCGTGGCGCTTCAGAGGACGGGCGGGATCACCCGAGCGAGCTGGCTGGCCACATAGTGGGATAGCGAGCTCTGGGCTCACGTGAGAGACCTTCCTCCCTGTACCAGGAGGGGAGGTCAGGGGAGATGTGTGTTGTTAACTTATGGCCTCCACATGCACACATGTGCACATACACATGTGCACACAACACACATGCCACCCCCAACGCAGCCCTCAAATAAATTGACAGAACAGAGAAAAATGTGTGGTTTTTGTTCTTCTTTATTTTGCAGAATGATTCATTCCTTATTGAAGGCTTATTGAGAATTGGTTATAAAATAGAAAATGTAAGTGTTAATGGCAACCCAGCACACCCATTGTGAGTGAATGATAGTCAGTCTCTTTGCATGTTTCCCGGGGAAGGACTCCATAGCCCAGCCTTTAACATGTAGTATTTGGTAATACCAATTTCTGTAATTATAAAAATAATCTTACAGATTTACCTCTTTTTGCCGTACCTATAGTATAATTTGAAGACTTTCACAAGTTACTCATTTTGTCTGTAGATTACTTGCCTAACATGTATTCCTCCAATGAAATTAAGTCCTTGGTTTTATTTTTTTAGAATTGTTAGGTAATGTTCAGGTGCAAAGATAAGTATTTGTAGTGTTACTGGAGACAGGAATGTCTGTATAGTTCCTTCAAGCCCAGTATCAAGATTGACAGTCCAGCCACTTAGTTTCTGAAGTTATTTCAGGTTATGCTTGTGAACTCCTGATGAGTAGCACCATTGCACTGATGGCCTGTTTGCTCTGCCATACCCTCGTCATGGGACCCTGTTCCGAACCCTGCTCTGTGCCTGAGGCCTTGTGCTCAGGATGAGTCCCTCTTGACCTCTCATCTGCCCCTATGCTACTACAGTACTGCTCCCTCGGCAGCCAAGGGCCATGCTTGTTACCATAGCAGAGACATTCTTGATCTGCGATAGTGGCCTAAGAGAGTCCGCCCGGGTGTTTTCCATTACATGCAGGGAAGTGAAGATAAGACAAGGGTGAATTCATAATGCCACGTAAGTTTAGAATTAATACCCACATCCCCTCTTCACTCCTCTCTTGAAACAGAAAATCTTGGCAATGGAAGAAGCTTTAAACTGGATAAAATACACAGGTGATATAACAATTCTCCCTAAACTAGGATCGGTTGACAGTTGCTGGCCCATGCTAAGTCTTTTCTTTACCGAATGTAAGTATGAGTGCTTGAATGGCGAGTTTGGGAAGGTGGGCTGAACACGTAGATGACGCTTGCTTTGCCTTAGGAATAGTTAAACGGTTTCTTCTGGTATAATGCTCAGATAAGAGAATTTAGCATTGCAGTTGTTTATTCTCTGCTTCTTGTCTTGATGGCTGTGTGGCATCATGCTCTTAAAGCTGCTGCTTCCGGGCTGGCCTGTCGAAAGAGCCCACAGCTGGGATCCTCTTTACTGTCTGAAGACACAGATGCTAACATGATTCTCGTTTTCCTGGTGCAGCCATTCCTCTTGAATAAGATGGAGCTGCCTGTCTTACACTCACATTTCACTGCAAGCATTTGCATATCAGCAGGGTTTTTATGAGGACAGGAAACGTTTGGTCCTGTTACCTCCTTGTCACCTCCACTGAGAAGAGCATGTGTTGTCAGGTGGTTTAAATGCTGTAAGTAGATAGAGACAGAGCCTTCTGGCCTGCTTGCTGGACACTGAGGTGTGTTGCATGCAGAATGTTTAGGGTTTTGCTCTCATCACAGTTTGAGGGTCTGTTATCACAGGGAAGGGTTTTGCTCTCATCACAGTTTGAGGGTCTGTTACTACAGGGAAGGGCGCAGTGTGCGCTCATCACTGAGTGCCTCTCATGGTTAGCTGCTCTCGCTTTCGGTAGTGAAGTCGGGATCTGAGGGTTAGAGCCGTGGGTTGTGACACCTTTGGGGTCAGAACCCTTTCATAAGGTTGCCTAAGAGCATCTGTGTATCAGGTATTTACACTGTGCTTTATAACAGTAGGCAAAATGAGTTATGTAGCAACGAAAATAATTTTATGATTGGGGTCACCACACATGAGGAACTGTATTAAAGGGACACAGCACTAGGAAGTTTGAGAACGATTTCCTTCAGTCTAATGAGCACTAGACTCTACACAAGAACTCACTCTGTCTTCTAATACTCTGTTTGGTGACTGTCCCAGATCTTGCTTGAATGTTACATGTTAAGTATATCTTTAACCGTGGAAATTAATGATTGGTTAGATAGAAGCTTAACTATAATTTTGGTGTAGTAAATTTTTAAATAAGAATTTAAAATCCTTCTTATATCATAGCCTAGAGTACAGAAAATGAGGCTTGATAACCTGTAAACACAAAGTTTATTGCATTTTTATTAGTTTACTAAGTTTTTTTGGAAATAGTATTTGAAATAATTCTCACTAACTTTTTTGTGAAGTCATTAAATAAAGCCTTTTAAATACTTGATTTGTTACAGTAAGTACATTTTAGAAAGTAGTTTTCCAGGTTTTTAGTTTTACACATTTCTATTGAACATTCTGTCTGGCACATTGAAAGTACTTGATACTGTTTGTTGAATTGGCTTTGGTAATTAGCAGCCCTAATCAAGTATGTTATGAAAGAAGGAAGAATATTACTCCAGTAATAACATTGAATTGCCAGAAATAAAAGCAGATTTTATTCACAAAGCAATGTGTGGTTTTCTGGTTTGTTTGATTGATAGAGGATAAATGTGTAGGTGCTTCCTGTATCACTGAGCTACATCCCCAGCCCCACCTTTTTATCCTTTAAATAGTTAATACATATGTAAGATTCCAAACACACAAACTATTTAAAATGTTTAATAATAAAACAAACATAGTAGACTTACTATTTAACCCAAGAATTAGAATATCACCAATACCAATTTAAAACTAATATTCCCTTTCTCTTTCTCCCGATACAAATCTCAGATAAGTACCATATTACTAAAGTCGTAACTGAGAATTGCAACTTGCTTGAGGAATTTAGAAGGAACAGTTGTATGCATTGTGTGAAGGTAAGGATACTTAACAGTAAATATATTTTAGATTTGTCTGTTAAAACATCTAATAGTCATGAATAATAATACTGTAGAAAGTAAAATATGGAACTACTACTGCTTTAAAGTAACATGCTTAAGGAAAACTTAAGGAATTTTGATTTAAATTTTTTTAAGAAGAAATATTATCTCAATCAAAATTTTCTGTTGATTTAAAAATTAGAATTTTTTTAAAAATCAGACATGTAATACATTGAAGAAATGTGATTTTCTTTGGTGAAACCCTTACTGAGATACAACCATGTGTCATGATTCACTCAGAGCTTAACTCAAGCTTAAAAAATTATTTAGGAGATGTTTAATGCTCTGTAAAGTTTTATAATTTAAGTCGTTAGTAATAGTTTTTTTCAATTAAAAAGTATGAGTATCTAGAGTTAAAAATTTTTTGGTTATACATGTAGCATCTTTTATGTATATTCTTGCTGACCTTTGATGCTATTCTTAGCAGTTAATCAACATTCTTGTGAGTCAATGATTTATATATGGTTTGTATATATAACAAGGATTATTAGATAATACTACACTTGCTAATAACCAAGAACTACAGTTCTACCATATATCTCATTTTTAGATCACTATACCTTATGGGTAACGTTTTTGTAAGCGTTGCCTATTGTAAAGTACTACACATGACAGAAAATTGTTTTATAATATGTTGGGAGACGCTGTCTCAAGGGAATAAGGTGGAAAGATGTAAAGGAGGGTACCATGCCTGTGCTCTCCTCCACATGCACACGCATGCGTGCACACACACACACACACACACACACACCCGGGCATGTGCACATACACCTCCCAACACATGTACACAGATGCATACACTGCATACAAGGTAATAAACGCATGCTCCTTCTCACTCCTTATTGCACAGTGCAATGCTGTGTACTTCGTTGTACTGTATTTTAGGGGATGATGACAAAAAACGTACATGATTGCCGATGCAGAAACCATGAATGCCATCTCAGTACTGATGGAATATATCAAAGTACTAGAGACCACATTCTCTTTTTCTGTGTAAATGACCGCACGGGACCCTGACCGCAAGGACAGAAACCGAGATGCCCTTCTCCTGGGTGTTGGGTTCCCGAGTGTCTTTGGAGGCGACTGATGGGCCTTCTCTCCCCCTCGCTTTCTCAGGAAGGAGAATTGATGAAAATGAGAGGAAATGAAGAGTTTTCCAAACAAAGATTTGACTTAGCTGTCATTTTTTACACCAGAGCCATTGAATATAGGTAAGAGCACAGGAGAACAATAAAAACAAGAGGCTTTTACGTGGTAGATGGGTTAGAATGTTGCCACGCAGAGCAGGTTTCCTTATCTGTGGGATTAGCTGTGCTGACAGCCTGAGTATGTGAACCAGCACATCAGGAGAGGCTGTGAGTTTCTCCCAGCGGGGCCGCCTCCATGTCTGAATTTCCTTTTGTATGGACTGTCCCTTCGGTACTATTAGTTGACTGTAGGGAGGGGTGTTTGTGCCTCATACGTAAGATGTTACCGTCTAGGAAGCCTTGCTTTCTTGGGGGAACTTTTGTTTGTTTTGGGACAGGCTCTCCCTGCATACCCTTGGCTGTCCTGGTGTGCACTCTGTAGACCAGGCTGGTATTGTACTCAGAGATCTGCCTGCCTCTGTCTCCTGAGTACCGGGATTAAAGTGTGGCTTTTTCCACTGCCCAACTCTTGGGAGTGTTACAAAAAGATAGTTGTAGTTGTTGAGAGGTCAGATGCACACAGTCTCTGCACACGTCACTCCGGTGCTGGATCTTCGTGGCTCTCCTCCAGGTCTATCTTACTCTTCCTTGCTGCTCATCTGAGCTGGGCACCTTATATTGTGGCAGATTTTAGGGGTGCCCTGTAGACTGCACCCTTTCCTACTCTGTTCTTCACATGGATTGAGGGAGTCCACATGTCATACCTAAAGGCTGCAGAATCAGACAATGAAAATTAACGAAATTCGAAAATATCTACCTGTTACTGTTGCTGTCGAATTTTACAAGTTTCTTTTGTCTGAGTAGTTAGTGTCACCGTCCTGACTTACATAAGTCATCTTGTCTTCCACAGTGGCATGCTTTGTAGTTGGCCAGCCTTTTAATAATGGATGGTATTACCCAGTTCTCAAAATAGTCCTGTGAGGTAGATAGATGTGTCAGTAATTATCTTCATTTGTTTTGACCGAGGTACTAAGACAGCAAAACCCTGGATTTCAGTCAGTTAAGGTGCTAGATCCTATATTCTTTCTGTTCTGAAACACAGTTGTAAAGTTTTTAAGATTTTTTTTTTTTGTCTTATGTTTTTAATGATTTATAAAGTTTGTTGCAGATGTAATGATTTACTGACTAAATGTTACTTCTTTTTAAGACCTGAAAACCATCTTCTTTATGGTAACCGGGCTCTCTGTTTTCTTCGTATGGGACAGTTTAGGTAAGTTGGTTAAAGTGATCTAATTACTGAATTATTATGCCCAATACCTATTTTAGGGAAACATTTATATCTTGCACATAGCAAGAAAACCCCTGATAGTTCTTTGTTTGAAATAGTTAAATGGGTAAAAGAATGACAGAATATAAGCATTTGTCACATGTTAAGTCTCACAGCACCCTTAGTAGGCATGTTAACGTTATTTCCCACATTTTACTCATGGGCAGTTCCTACGGCTAGTGAGCGGTGATGCTAAGATTTAGACACAGATCATGCTGGCGACATCTACATTTCATAACTTTTATAATACATTCCATCCTTCTGCTCTGTCACATCTGCATAGTGTATTTCTGCTGTTCACTTTGTCTTGTTATATAAAATTAAGTAATTATTTTCATAAGTGAAAAAATGCGTAGAAGTTTAATGGTATTAATGGGATAGACCTGTAATTTAGTTCCTTATATTGAATTTGAAATTTGCTTTTGAGTTGAGAAAGACTGGGGGGAGAAGGTACTCTGCTGTGATGTGATTGTCCTTCATTTAAAAACTTTTTAGTATATAAATTATAAGTGTTTATATTAAACAGCGTAGATTGTTGTGTTCAATTATGCCCTGCCTTATTGTAAGTGGGTGGGTCTGAAACCACATCCGTACAGAGGAAGATACTCAAAACACATGGGACTAGAAAACCAAGTCAGAGCCTGGGACCCACAGAGCAAGGCTGCCTGGCCAACGTGTTCATTGATGCCAGTTTTAATGCATTTTTGCCTTTGACTTTCTGTTGCCTGAAATAAAAAAGAAAACCCTGAAAAGTCACGAGATTCTCCTTATTCATAAAGAAAACTTTACAGCAGTTCTTTTTTTGAAAGTGTTCTCTTCACATTTAACCTAGAGATTGTCATATGGTTCACTGCTAATGTTAAGTACGTGAGGAATGTTCCAGAAACTATGGTAGGAAAATCTCTGGAAAGTGCAGTTTGGGGTTTCACAACTAAGCTTTTCTATGAAGTCATGCAAACAGAGGCTCTGAGGGTGTGGGGGAGTGGGGGTGGGGGGGTGTAGTATCTTCCAAGTGTGCAGCCGTAAAAAAGTAACATTTACTGTGTTTCTCTTTTATTATAAACAGAACACATTCTCATGGTAGAAAATTTGGAAAATACAAGAGTTTAAAAAGAAGAAAATAAGTATCACCAGTAATCCAACCACCTTGGAGAATACCGCTGTATTAACGTTATGCAGCTTTTAGATGGCTTAAGCCGTGGATAATCCGAGGCTATCTAGACTAGAGGAATGGATGGATGGGTTTGACACAGTCTTCCATCAATACCACTGTCCTCAACTGGTTCTGACAAGAAATGAGCTACAAATGTCTAGGTTATTGTTTCTGGCTAGGCCCAGAGTTACCAGATACTCTGTGTTGTGTGAAGGTGAATTTGTATCTTTTCAAGACAGAGGAATAGGTTTATGACTTGGCTAGCGTCTTGTGAAAACTGAGGTCTCCAGGTGAAATCTCGCCAGGCAGAGGGTCGTGTACTCTCCAGCTCCGAGAGCGGAGAGGCAAATCAGGGTGATTCTGCTTTTTATGCGTCTTTGAAAGTTAGACAGGGGGAAGCACTTCCTAAACCCCCGCTGTAACAAGAGGTGAGGGTAGAGACTCCTCCTCCAGATAGCGTGAGGGTGGGACGATGAGCCTATCCGTGCACCCTGTTGATGAGCCGCTGGTAGCGTGAACACATCGGTGTCAGTACAGGCTCAGTGTACCTGAAGAGTCACTGGTAACATGTAAAGCCATGCCACACTGGGTTTGCTGACGCCTCCTCTCGTCTCCGCATGCTGCTTCCATGGTTGTGGCCAGTACTGTGGAGATGAGGCCTTCAGGGTCTGTCCCTCCTGACGCAGCGAGTGGACGGTAGGACATAGGGTACGCTGCCTGTGATCGCCATGTGCCTGCGTGTAGGAGAAGTCTCACATCCTGTGACTGCCAGCCACATCTGTCATGGGCATCTGGTCAAGCAGCTGCAGGGACAGCTGGAGTAAAGTGTCCACGAGCCGACTCTAGGAGACAATGCAGTCCCTGTTTGTCCTCAAGGCCAGACTTCCTGTTTATTTTAAAAAAGCAGACATGCAGCTAGGAAAGAAATAGAATGAAAAGGTTAAAGGTTTGAATAAATGTAAAAAGCAAAGTGATTCCAAAATACTTTAATCTGAAATATTAGAAAATGAAAACATTCCCTTTAAAAAAATAACAGGCAAATAAAGGTAAAAATACGTACATTAGCTCTTACGACAGGCTCCGCCCTGAGTACTTTATACATATTTCTTCCTGGAAACCTTCACTACCATGGGAGGCGGTCGCCGGTGTCCCCTGCACCTGAGGAAACGGGGCAGGTGCAGGGAGGCCCTGCGGTGGCCGGGTCGCTTACGGGAGTGGTGCGGCCAGCGTGGAGCAGTCTCTGGGTATGCGCTCTACTGTCCTCACCTTGGAGAGGGGACACAGTAGAGCGTAACAGGAATGTGAACGTTGGAAAAGCTTTAAAGCACACGATCCACACAGTCACACATGCATGAGGACCTGCTTATCCTTACAGAACATGCAGATTAAAAGCTACAAGTTTCTCTTTCACACCATCAGATTGACAAAAACTTAAACCCTTCGTAAAACCAAGTATTTGAGAGGATGTGGAACAAAGGACGCTTTGACACTCGGCTGGACGGTGTCAATTGGTACAGTCACTGTGGAGCAGTCTGCCAAGGTGAAGATGAACACGCCTAGGATCACATGCGTGTCCAGGAAGACGTGCACAAGCCTTCACGTAGCAGTGCTTGTAAGAGTTCAGACGTGCAAACGGCGTCAGTGTCCATCACAAGGGGAATGGATAAAAGAGTTGTGGTATATTCATACAACGTTGTTTTAAATAGCACTTAAAATGAGTGCGATGTTGGAGTGTCAAGCAAGTTGCAGAATGATTTGTACAGTGTGATGCCTTTATATACTGTCGGAAGTCATGAGAAATAATGTGCATATTCATGTTAATATGAAGTATGAATTTCAAGTGTTTCTCAAATGTGTGCGCATGTTGTACACCAGATGAGTGGCTATCTCTGGGGAGAGAAGGAGGGGATGTGGGAGCCGTGGCACAGTAGGTGTCCGCTGTAACAACCCTGCAGAAATAACAGGAGCGAATGTGACAAAATGTTCCTTTCTCGCTAAGTTGTTGCCTAAGTGCTCTTCGTGTTAATGTCGTGTTCTCCGAATGGTGTACTTGAAATCTTTGATAAAAAGTAAAGCGAATATAATTTAAAATGCTCATAAAAGGGGAAAATACAGAAGCGAAACAATGAAGGTCAAAACGAGGAATGCTCTTGAAGCAAGAGAGACGCGCCCGTGCTATGGTTAGTGGTACAAAGAAGTAGGCCAGAGCTGGGAAGCTGACGCTCCATCCCAGGGTGGCCCAGGGACCTGTGGTTCTAGTGCTGAAGTAAACATTGTCACTCAGAGGGACCATGGAGAGGACACGGGTGAGGCCAACAGCCAGGATAGCCCCTGGGCTGGATGTTGTTCGCATGAAGTAAAGAGCTGGGGTTGTGCCCTTAACTCTTCCTCAGGCTGCTGCTGCTCCATCTTCCCCCGTGGAGTGCTTGGGGCTTAGGGAATGTGTTTCCCGAACCCAGGACTCCTGCTTGGAAGAGATTTTAGTTTACTGTGACCTTCTAGAAGCTCACTGTACAATACTCAGTTTATTACCATAGGCATTATTTGAATGACAGCTGTAATTGAATTAACCAGAGACTTTCAGGTTTGTTTATAGGGAAAGGAATCAGACGCGTCTACTGTAGGTGGTTACAACAGCTTAAGTAATGTACACACGAGCAGACGTTGCCTACTCTGCCTCACTAATTTTTGTAGAGCTCATATGTGGGAAATTTGAATTCTTCTCGGCTATAATGAGCATTGCTAAGGGGAATGTAACAGGAGATGGGGGACATGTATCCCTGGATACTCTAATTTGTTTTGAGAAATCCTTGACCTTTTTATATTTAATTTCCTATCTTGCAGTATTCCTTCCCAGCAGAGAGACTAAGTCCTGTCGATTTGTTTTCTGAGTTTCTGAGATCAGAGATGCAGCAGCTTAACCATGCTCCTGTGAGATTGCCTTCTCAAGTGTGAGGGAGAGAGACAGAGAGAGAGAGGAGAGAGAGACAGAGAGAGGAGAAAGGAAGAGGAAAGAGACAAAAAAGACGAGAGAGGGGAGAGGGAGCAAACACTTCTGGGAGGGGCCCACGGGCTTAGTTTAGGGCTTGCTGTTTGAATTACCCCTTGTGATATTTGCATCTCCGTTTTTATTTGGAAGGACTGAATTTGCTCTTGAAGAAAACACAATTGCCACTTGTTTCAGGGTGTACTCCCTCTTTAAAATATGTAGTTTTATTTTAGATGTACAAGTGTTTTACTTAATTTATGTATGTACCATGTGCACATAGTGCCCATGGGTCCAGAAGAGCCTGTCAGATCTCCTGGAATTGGAGTTAGAGACCGTTCTCAGTGGCCCTGTGGGTTCTGGGAACTGAACCTAGGTATCCTGCAAGAGCAGCCAGTGCCCAACAGAGTCATCCAGCCCCATCACTCCCCCTCTTTAGAAAGAAGTGGGTGCACTCAAGGGGGTGATTCTCACAGAGGCATGCATGGTAACGATGCTGTATCTCTGACCTCAGAAATTCAGAAAACAAACCTGATCGATCCACTGGCAGCGCTTGACTGTGTATCAGAATATTGGCAATTAGAGATGATTCAACAGCCTTTGTGGATGTTGTCGTATAACTGCTTTTTAAATGTTGAGCCATAAAACTTGTGTGTCGAGATCTTGCTCTTGTTCCCGGGCAACATTTAATTGGCTGGATACTTAGGTGATCCATCAAGTTTTATTAATAATATATGGTTGAATAGGCTACTTGGGTCAGTCTATAAATTACTTACAATTACAGGTTATTAGGACATAGATTAT